TTAGACTATCTTTTTTCTCAAATTCTTATCGTCTTAATCATAAAAAATTGTCTATTATAATATAATTCAATAATATATATTTTAAAACTTTTAACAAAAAAATATAATGTATCTTGCTAAATGATCTACACAATACATTTAACCGAATATAGCAAGAATCAGTCATAGAGTTAATTTAAAATTTTCTCGGCAAAGAAATGATATCAAGTCATATAAGAATTAATGTTTCAAGATTCTCCCCAAACCGGATTCACTAATTCGTGAAAGAATTATAAATTGCAAAATCCTAGCGATATGTTTTTCACCTTATACGTGTATTAACACATCGGGTCAATGTTTTAGCACTACATAAGTAAAACGTTAGTTTACTCTTTTTCCCATCATGTGTTTATTCGTGAAATCTTAAAAACATTTCGTATTATGTCATCTTTTATGTTTTTTTGAATTGACAAGTAGATTATCAAACACGTTAGGTCAACTAGGTAGTATATCTACATAACCAAGTGACTAAATTTTCATGTGTGTCTGCATGTATACTCTTTCGCAGAATCATAAACACACTTCGTAATGTCATTATCGTATTTTTATAACTTATGTGCAGTTTATTTAATATGTCAGATCAATGTAGTATTTTATATTTACATAACTAAACGACTAAGTTGTTGCACTTTTGCTTGGATGTGGGTTGTGAAAAAGTTACTAATCGTGAAACTTTAAACAATGTGTCATTTTTTTTAAAGTTGTGTCATAAATAATTAACATGATCATATTGTTATGGTATATCTACACATCCTAACTTGCAAAGAATATGTTTACATGTATTTTTATATAAAAATATATTTCTATACGTGTTGAAATACGCATTAAAACAATTTTTAGGCTAAAAATACAAAAAAAAGTATAAATATACATATAAAAACTAATTAATAGACATTCATATGTATATATAACTTCTAATGGATTAAATACAAAAATATATATTAAAAGGTTAAAAAGAAAAATATGTATTAATAGATTCAATATAAAAATACAAAATATTAGGAGAGTATATAGGTAACACGCAAGATCTTAAACTTCAAAACTCATGTTAAGTGTTAAAAAGCACTTGCCTTGTGATTATAAGGGATAATGACTTAAAAGGCTAAGATATTTTTTGATTTGTATATATTTGGTCACTGTGTTTTTTTTGTCTACATTTAACCCTTCAACTTGTTAAACTGTACACATTCGGTCCTTATAACCGGTTACTCTGGGTTAACCGGGAAAAATGACTTAACAGGGTAATATTTCTCATTTTATACACATTTAGTCCTTAATATTTTTGTACACATTTAGTCTTTAATATTTTTGTACACATTTAGTCCTTAATATTTTTTGTTTCAAAATAAGTCTTTTTTGTTTTTGTACTCATTCAGTACTTATGAATGATTGCTTTATATTTTTCTCACGACATCTTACGTGGGACAAACATTGATGATGTGTTTTGAGGCTGTTGATGCTTATGTCCGTCGCGATCTCGGCTACTTGGTTGCGTAGGTCTTGTGGTTTGGCTTAGGTCTTGTGTTCTGATTGTCGTAAGTTATTCATACAATATCAGATTTTAACAATCTTTATATCCACGTGTTTGGTTTTTGAGTCTACTACAACTTTCGTTAAGATGACTCCCGTTAAAATTTAATATATTTTTACGTACGATTTTATAAAAAAACATACATACATGGATTCATAAAAAAAGTATGTATATAAAGATCGTAAGTAAAAATATATTACTTTTTAACGAGTGTAATCTAAACGAAAGTTGTAGTATACTAAAATATGATCACATGGATATAATGGTCGTTAAAATCCGAGATCGTATGAAGAAGTTATAACGTTCAGAGCACATGACTTAAGCAACCAAGTAGTCGAGATCGTGGTGGACATAAACATCAAAAGCCCCAAACACCTTATTAATGGTTGTCCCACGTAAGATGTCGTGAGAAAACCTAAAGATATCATTCATAAGTACTAAATGAGTACAAAAACAAAAAGACTTATTTTGAAACAAAAAATATTAAGGACTAAATGTGTACAAAAATATTAAGGACTAAATGTGTACAAAATGAGAAATATATTACCCTATTAAGTCATTTTTCCCGGCTAACCCGGAGTAACCGGTCATAAGGACCGAATGTGTACAACTTAACAAGTTGAAGGGTTAAATGCAGACGAAAAAAAACACAGTAACCAAATATGTACAAATCGAAAAATATATTACATTTTAAGTAATTATTATACCTGATTATAAATTTGAGGGGGTTTCATTTTCTTTCTTTCCTTTTGGCATGATGGTGTGGCACTGCCGTTTGTCATGTCAGCTAATAATTCTGAAAAACAGTCTTTTGGTTTAGTGACATCATGATTTTTTAATTCAAATCTTTAGTTGAGAATTAACGAAAATACTTATTTGTATAAAACATTTTATAACAAACCACAATGTCACGTTCGTTAAAAATCGATCAACCAAAACCGTTTAGATGTAAAGGAATCAAAATACAAAAGTAAATAAAACGAGTTCAAGTAACATCATTTATTCGAAATCATTCTACACAAAAGGTGACTCAGCTTCACCAAACCACACACCTAAGCTACATGTACTAATCACATTGCACGGGGTGGAAAAACAAATGTCGCCAAATGCCTAATGAATCAACGTAAATTATATTAACTAATGGGAAAAAAAATACAATCTTCTATTGGGTCATTCATGCAAATATATATATAGATATATATATCTATATAGATATATTATATATATAGTATATATATATATTATATATATATATATATATATCTCATTCTTCGCACATCATAAATCATCCAACTACATATCATATATCATTGAAGTGCATATCATTATATATCTATATATATATATATATAGATATATATATATATATATCTATATATCTATATATCATTCATTCATTCGCACATCATAAATCATCCAACTACATATCATATATCATTTGAAGTGCATATCATGTAACCTTTCAACCATGTCATATAACATTTCAACTGCATGTCATGTATGATTTCAAACCATATTTCATGTTAGGTGACTCATAGTGATACCTGTGATATATCTAATTTTCAGAACCAATTAAAACATTTTCTTTATGCTTTATAAATCGAGATGCCAAAATTCCCAATTAAATAAAATATTTTAAGATAACAAAAGTTATTTTATTAAAACCTTAGAGGATGTCATTTGTTCATATTCGAACATATATTACAGTGTAAAATATAAAAGCTCCTGAAGCTATGTATTACACGCACATCTCTTTATTCTAATCAACATCCTAACTATACTACAACAGCCTTGGTTCCACTACCTGTGATGCATAAAAATGAGTGGGTCAGGTATGGGAAAACCTGGTGAGATACGTAGGGTTTTCAAGCCCATAACATTTTAATGATAAAAATAATATCATTCGTACAAAACATCTATCAGATAATATAGATATAATCTGACCTAAGGCCAACTACTCAACCTAACCGATCCTCACAGATCCTAGTTCGACGATCATCTGGAAGAATCACCTTACTTGATGAATTGTCTTAGCATCTGTTTGAGTACACAACTAAGGGAGTCCTTGGCCAGTGTAAGTCATATATAAAATGTTCAAAGATTTGATAAATATGGTATCCCATTTTATCTACGTCTATAGGTTATCAGTCCATGCTAGCAACGTAATTCACTAGACCGCCTTGAGTAGTCAAGTGTTGTCATCTACTCTGGTCGATGACGCAGACACACCTACAGGTTTTTTGATCTGGACCCACCATTTCTGGTCATCCAAGAAAGAGGAGGAATACGACACTCCACTATCTAATCTCACACTCTACCCACAGAATGAGACATATCTAATGTTCGACTTATTGGGAACTAAACACCTTTTTACAAGTCTTATTATGACTAATCCAAACTTATACTAAAGGCAATATATGTCTAATACAGTTCCTAATAGGAAATACTATCTTACTTATATTATTAGCACAAAATACAGTTAATACAACTAACACACAATAAATACTTTTATTAAAGTTATGTACTTAATAGTAACTATGCACTCACTTGACAAAGTGTCTGGTGATTGGTGAATTAGGCAGAGCTTCCCCTTACACATTTTCCAAAAGACCTAGATGTACATAATGTTATGTCTAGTTTAGTTTCATACTTCATGGAACTATTATCATAAGGGTTTAGATTCCTCAACAATCCCAAAGTGTACTTCAAGATCTATCAAGTAAGGATCAACCAGGTAGGACATTCGGGAGACATGGCCATTTTAGCATATAGCCTTTTTTAAATCCAACAACCAAGCCGATGCCACCCTTCTAGTCACCTCTTCCTTAAGTAGATCAATCATTATAATGACTCGGAATCATTGATTAAATCTTAATTATAAGTTCCTAGTATCGACTTATAATTATAATCATAAATTACATGGAAGCAGAGTAAGTGTAGCTCACTTACAGAGTGCTCTTAATGAAAACCAAGAACTAAGCAGGCATAATACTGACGTGGGAACTTCTACTCGAAGGTTACAACTAGTTGAGCTGTCACAACTAGCATTTTAGCTAGGAAGTTCTTTTCTCATGTAAACATCATCTACTGTAAAGCATGTACTCTAAGTGAAAATCATACTCTATGCTTAATCAAAACCATCCATTTGACTCCAAACTCTTGATTTGAGTTCAAAACCTAATACAATTAGGGGTACAAACGAGTCAAGCCGAGCCCGAGCCTGACCAAGCTCGAGCTCGGCTCGCTTAAAATTTGTATGGCTCGAGCTCGAGCTCGGCTCGTTTCGAGCCCCAAATAAAGAGCTTGAGATCGGCTCGTGAAGTAATACATAGGCTCGGGCTCGGCTCGGGCTCGGCTCGTTTTGTTTAACTGAGCCTAAACGAGCTTAAGCTTGGCTCGAGCTCGATAAAAGCTCGTTTGCAAAATGAATTCCAGAAAAAAAAAACACAAATTTACTTAATAAGTTTTAAACTCCAACATACAAAAATAAAATGTAATTAAATCATCCAAAAGAAAGTCTTCCTATCATGGAAGTTCAAATTACAAAAATACTATAAAAACGATAAAATTTTAACATAACATATTATCAAACTCAAAAGCCAATCTTCCTTGAAGCAAATTCAATCCAGCAAAATCTGCAAATTAAAACATTTTATGAGATGTGCAATATAATGTAATTAAAACAACAAGATTACAAGTAGATTAAAATGGCTTACACCTTTAAGTATTACTTGTCCCTGTAGGTAATAAAACCTCAATGGGCATTTCCTCCTTCTGTAAAAAGAACCCACCAATACAATCAAATATTAATAAATTTAAATAATAAATTGTTAGTTCATGTATTTTAAGTTTATCAAATGTACCTTCAATTTTTTCTTGATTCCATAACGATGTCTAATCCAATCTCCTCCACAAATCAACTTTTGAACAGTGTCGGTGCCAATGAAGATCGGTATGGATCAATTACTCTACCCCCAGCACTAAATGTTGCCTCAGATGCAACGGTAGAAATCGAGATCGCAAGCACATCCATAGCCATTTTTGATAAAACACGGTACTTCAGTTTATGAACATTCCACCACTCCAAAGCCTTGAATGAATCCATTCCTTTTTGTCCCTGGTTCCTATAAACACCTTCCTCCAAATACATATCTAATTCTGACTTTTCTGGTCTCTCCAAATCTGTGTTTTTTATAAACTCCCCAAAAGCCTCCCATCCTGACCCGAGTGACGTTGTTTTTGACACTTCATTTCCTCCACATCCATTTGCAGGCATTGCAGCTTCTCGGACTGACGCATCATGTATTTCCAAATACTCCTCATACATTTCATAAAGTGCTTTCTTCACTTCTTCAATGCTCTTTTCAGCATTGGAGTATATGGTTGGGAAACTAAATTCTACTAACTTCATTTTGAATCTTGGATCTAACACTGAAGCTATAGCCATGACAAGATGGCACTCCCCCCAATATTTGTCAAACTTCTCCTTCATCTTAGTCACCATAGTCCTAATGAAATCATTTTTGATAGAGCACCTTTATCCAAAGTTTCTTTTACTCTTAACACCTCAATCAAATACAGATTGGATGTTGGATAATCACTTCTAGAAACGACATTTGTGCATACCTGAAAATAAGTTGCTTTAGTATTAGGCATGATAAAATATTTAAAATAACACTTAAATAAAGGTAATATGCACCTTTAAAACCTTCAAGATTTCACATACACTCTCCCATGCGCCCACTCATCATCATTAGGCAAGTGATGGAAATGTGGCTTGTACTCCGCAAATCTATGAAAATCAAAAAAGCTTAGTGATGTGCAATATTTGAAAATCACAACATTCAAAACTATTTTTATTAAAATGTAATGTATACCTTGGGAAAACATCTTTAAATTTTAATGCAACCGAAAACAATCCATAGTTGAATTCCATCGTGTTGGAACATCACGCAATAACTTTCTATCTTGTATTTGCAGTTGATGTGAATATTTGGAAAATGTTTGAAGTCTCCTCAGAATTGTTAATATATTTGATACCCTCACGAACTTCCCCGATAACAGAATCAATCATATCAAGACCATCTTTCACAAGAAGATTCAAAATGTGTGCACAACATCTAACATGAAACAACCTCCCACCACACGTGAGTTTTCTCACTCTAGAAAATATTTATTTCAGTCTTCTCAACGCCCTGTCATTGTATGCAGCATTGTCTACAGATATCGTGAATATCTTGTCCTCAATTTCCCAATGCTTCAAACATTTATAAATACCATCATCAATATCAAGTCCGGTACGAGGAGGAGGAACATGTACAAAACTCAAGACACGTTTTTGCAATCTACAAAAGCAAGTCCAGATACCAATATGAATATATTAAATAAAATGGACATGCCTTATAAAAAAATAGAAAAAGAAATCAAACCTCCAATTATGATCAATAAAGTGCCCTGTGATAACCATGTACTCAATCTTCTGATGAGATGACTTCCA